GCAATCATCCATGAGTAGGAGGAAGTACCGCTGACCACCGCATATAGCAGGCGTGATCGGCCCGCAGAGGTCGCCGTGAACTAGCTCGAGAGCTTCCTTCACGCGATACTTGGCCGCCTTTGGGAAAGGTAGCCTCTCGCTTCCCGGCCAGCAAATTGTCACACGCTTCGCCTCTGTGTTTGATGTGGGTAGCCCTCGGACCATCTTCCCTAGCCGACCAAGCGCCAAAGCCGAGATGTCCGAACCGGGCATGCCACATCCACGCTTCCTGAGTGCCTTGTCGCCAGCAAACCGGCCGCTCTACCTTCGTGTCGGCAGGTACAACCGTTTAGGGACCTCTTCACCTTGGCGAAGTCGCCGCTCCGGTCTCTCGATCCTCGTAACGCCGCCCTGATCGTAACCTCGCTACCACGCTCATCCACGGGCCAATGCCGATGATGCCGGAGCGCGCCGCTGGATGTAGTATACATCCGTTAGCGCCTTGTGCTGCCCGCCCCGGCATCTCAAGATGATGGTGCCGCGTCCCTGGATAGCCACCCTTGAGCCATCACCAAACTTCATCGCATCGGTAACATCGCCATCGAGCTCGGAGAAGGAGTCCTTGAGCTCGTCATGTGGTTACCGCACCGAGTCCGAGATACCACCGCCGCTCCCCGATCGACGCCCACATGCCCGAGGTGAACTTGGGTGCGTGGTTCATCGAGGTTGACGATCTTCGTGGCCTTCCTGTGTCCTTCCACCATCGCCGCTTTTCCTCTTCATGGCCTCCTCGACATCGCGCAAAGGTACGTAACGCCGCCATAAGGATAGTGGCCTCATCCTCATCATCGGCTTTCGCCAGCCTGAGCCTTCTTCTCCTTCTTGCGATTTGGGCACTCCCGTGCCCAATGGCTCATCTTCCCGCAACACCGACAGGTGTTGGAGTCGATTTGCTTCTTCTCCGAAGAAGCCCTTCCGCGGTGCTTGCCCTTGCCACCGCGACTGGAGGAGGCTGCCTTCCCGGAGTTTCGCCGAGCGACCCCACTCCTCTTCCGCCGCCAGGAGTTTCCGCTGTCGCCCTTCGTTGTCGCCGCTTTGCCTGTGCGCCGCCGTCCACCGCCCGCAGACGGCCTACCATATCCTCAATGGTGAGGGTGGACAAGTCTAGCATCGTCTCTATCGAGAGAGCGATCTGTATGTACTTTGTCGGCACAGAGTGGAGGAACTTGGAGACCGCCTCCTCTTCGTCGATGGTGATGCCATGGCTCTTCAAATTTTGTCGATGAGTGTCTGCAGCAGGAGGAAAAGTCCTCCACCGTTTCACCATCCTTGAACTTGAGGTTTACGTACTCTCGCCTCGTAAGCCGGGCCGTGCCGCCTTTCTTTGCGTGGTCGGAACCGACGCCAAGATCGCCAATAATGGCCTCCCACGCCTCCTTAGCTGAGCCTTTCGTCCCCAACGGTTCCATGTACTCCGTCGGTACAGCAGCGAGGATAGCCTCCAACGCTGACATGTCGTCTTCTTCCACGTCGGTGCCCTTGTCAATAGCATTCCAGAGCCGTCGAGCTCTGAGCTTGACCTTCATGGTTACCGACCACTCTCCATAGTTAGTGTGAGTCAGCGTCGGCCAAGTGGTGCCGCTGACCTCCCGCACCATGCGAACAACTATATCCGGTAGTGGCTGGGTAGCCACGACAGTGCCACTGCCGTCGCCCAACTCCGAACCGCCTATCATCGCCATCGGTTAGAATGACGACGGCGCTTGTACGGCTCCGATACCACTTGTTGGCCCACAGTTAGCCTCCCGACCACCGAGATGACCTCCAGATCAATACAGATAGCCTCCAGACCACCGAGATAGCCTCCAGACCACCCTTGGTCTCACAGGATCACCGGCTCACGTCAGTGAACCACTCTAGCCGATCTTGTCGTGCACCGGCTCAAGCGAGTAGAGCACTTGACGGTCTCGCCGAGCACGCGCTAGTGTTGCCGAGCACCCACTAGCCGTGCAGACCACTTACCGGCGTTGTCCGTACCCACACACTATGGACGGAGTTGGAAGAAGAAGAGAGAACAGAGCAAGTACGCACAATACAAGACAACAGCGTTGGCTGAGACCCTGTCTGTGTGATGGCAAATCTGAGCTCTCTTTACTGAGTTGGCATACATGTCTATTTATACAACTCTAACTATCTAGTCCATGTGCGGCGCCATCCATGCCGCACAAGAATTCAGATAACCCGACAGGTCGACTCACTGTGCCGCCACCGCTCGTTCTTTACAAAGGTCAGTAGGTGAGCCGTGTGACGCCTGCACTGCAGCTGCCATCAGATCACACGCGAGGGGCAAAGTCGGCGCCGCCTTCCCTTGCTGTGTTCACACACAGCAGGCGGCTAAGTCGGCGCCGCCTTCTTCTGCTGCGTTCACACAAGGTGACAGTAGATTAGCTAACACTACCTACATGCCTACTATTCCGGAAAGGTACAACAAGTATGCCATGTCTCAACATGCCTCCGATGGATCAACTTCGGAATCAAGCTTTGTGACTATGGACACCTTTCGTGATAATAAGGCTACATCCATCGCCCTAGCATGGAATTAGTGCAGTGATTATTGTAATAACCTTATTTTGGAACTATGAACTTATTTTGTAATTTCGGTTCTAAGCAAATGATATGTAATTTATTATTATTTTGGACTACACTGCATGTACTTTTATTTCATATTTGTGAGAAGTAGTTCAAGTCGAACCAGGAGCAAGAATGACAATCTACCCTCAAACTCATCTTTTCTGGAGTTGGAGACACCCTCCCAGCCAAACACCCTCATCAGACAGCTCCAACTCCACCCAGAACTGACTCCACCTAGAGTTATGGAGTGGAGCAACTCCACCCAGAGTTGGAGTCATGCCAAACAGGCTGTGAGCAACCGTCACATTCCTAACAGCTTGTCTGACGGAGAGACAAAAACAAAACCTTGGATGGACTAAGCCACCAATTAATGTGACAAATAAAACCTGGCGCGGTTAGTTTTCAGATTAGTAAAATCCACGGCAATTGCACCAGCTCCCTGACAAAAAGCACACATGCCTTAACAAACTGTCATGGCCTCACGGGTCATCAATTAAATAAGAGCGGTGATGTGTCCTGGTCTCTTATTTGTTCTGTGTAGATTATTTTTTTCCCAGCCAAGTCTTTAAACGGTGCCTAGTCATAGGATCATAGCATGTGTACTTGAGGTGGCGTAGGATGATAAACAGGAACGGGTTAAAAACACTAGCAAGTTGCATAGCAAGTTAAATTTAGGGAAAACCTAATTAAAGGTTGAATGATTTGGAGGTTTTGATTGACTGATTTTTGTTCGGCCACCATTTATCATGCTAGAGTTATGATCTTCGACTTCAACGAGGACTCTGGTGAGGTTACGATTCAAGACACAAGATAGGAGGTCTTCGCCAATAAGAAATGGCGGCCTAGAGATAAGACTGCCAGTGGTTGTGGTGGGCGCAGCGGTGACGTGATAAGGTTGTGGTGGTAGATGACCCACAAGACGATGGTGGCGTGGACAACTGATCAACGGGTTCGGGTAGGGATAGAAGCAACGGCAATGATAATAGAAGGTGACTGTAGGAGGCAGCCATTGGCGAGGTGAGGCCTAGATGGTGACATGGGAGAGGTGAGGCCTTACCACTCATAAAAGTGAGTGTGTGTGTATAGTATCTACGTCTATACCGTGGTCCTAAAAAACACTAACCCTATTTCTTGACATCCTTGCTTTCTTTGCTATCAAAGTGGATTGCATAAGCCTTTTCAAGTGCATTGGCATCCATCAACTTAATGAGCTACTTTTATTGTTTTCCTTTTTTTAAAAGGAACTTGTACGCTTTGACATAGTTAGAGCTTTGTCGCGCACATTCTGATGCGTTGATGTTGATCGGGTCTTGACACATACTTCTTTCGTCTCAAAATAAGTAACGTTTTTGACTTTCAGACATCATGTTTGACCGTTCGTCTTACTCAATTTTTTTGTGTAAATTATAAAATAAATAAATTATTATTAAAGTATCTCTAATGATAAAATAAGTCCTAATAAAATAGATGATATTTATAAAAAAAAATTGAATATAAGACGAACAGTTAAACATAATGTCTCTGAAAGTAAAAAAAAACATCACTTTGAGTACAGTCGTCCACAGATTCTGAACAGAGACCAAAAGCTCAGCCAGCCACGGATGATATCTCCCCGTTTCTGAACAGAGCAGCACTACAGACCAATGCATTTTTTGTTTGTAGCTCTAGTGCATTCCGAAGGCAAGCTCCCTTTTTTGCTCTACAAACTTTGCGCCGCAGAGCCCAGCACAGCACAGCACAGCACAGCACAGCACTACACTGAAGAGTGAAGAGTGAGGCGTTCAGAGAACCTGGAGCCTACCCAGACCAAAACTTGCTTTTGTTTTCTTCTTAGGAAGCATGCGTGAGTCACCCAACAATATTTGCACGGGACACATGCATGCGCGCTCCCTCAACTTGCACCTCACCACATCACAGTAACCTATCCCACTGTGAGCTTGTGACTGTGCATGGTCATGGTCATGCCTTGAGGAGGCCGGCCGGTCCCAGGCCGCTGGGACTGAGCGAACGAGAAGGCAAATCTTCCCAGCTCCCTCCAATCCCTCTCGCCTCCCCATATTTTATTTTATATATACTCCACTGCCTGCAGTGCACCTCCCATTTCTTGCGTCCGTCGTCTCTTCTTCCTCCTCCCGTGAGCCATGAATGAGCTCTGCGACCTCAAGGTGCACATCAATGGCCATCACACGCTTCATCTCCACCAGGCACGTATCACTCACACCGCGTGCCAAGTTCTTCTTCTTCCTAATAGGGCGTCTCATCAGATCAAGAAATGAACCCTCTTTTTTTTTCTAGCTCTGAAAGTCTGAATTGATCTCATCTCACCGTCGTTGCAATGCAATGCAATGTAACAGAGCGTCATGTGCGCCTTCTCGAGGAGGCTGAGGACGATGGTGAAACAGGAGAAGATCATGAAGAAGGCCGGCAGGAAGGAAGCCGTGTCCATCAAGCTCGCCGGCTTCCCTGGCGGCGCCGACGGCTTCGAGCTCGTGGCCAGGTTCTGCTACAACAACGGCCGCGTTCTGCTCTGCCCCTCCAACCTCCCGCTCCTGCACTGCGCCGCCGTGTTCCTGGAGATGACCGAGGAGGAGTGCGCCTGCAACCTGCTGGCGCAGGCGGAGGCCTTCGTGAACGGGCTCTGCTACTGGACCTGGGGCGACGTGCTCACTGCGGTCAGGAGCTGCGAGCCCTTCGCCGCGGCGGCCGACGCCAACGGCCTCCTGGAGAGGCTCATCTCCGCGCTCTTCTCCAAGATCACCGCCACCCCGGAGACGCCAACCACCGCCGCCGCCGGTGGCGGCGTGGGGACGCCGAACCGCTCCTCGTCGTCGTGCTCGTCGTCGCCCGACACGGTGGGCTTCGGCCGGTCGTCGTCGTCCGCCACCAAGACGCCGGAGTCGATGCGGCCCTGCGCCGGCAGGGAGTGGTGGTTCGACGACATGACGTCGCTGTCCCCACCGACCATCGAGAAGGTGATGCGCGTGCTCGGCTGCTACGGCGTCGAGAACAAGAACCTCATCCTGACGCGGTTCCTGCTGCACTACCTCCGCGCCGCCACGCGCAGGTCGCCGGCGCTGGCGCTCTGCGAGGGGGAGAGGGAAGGCGCTGGAGCCCTCGCCGGCCTCGCGGACACGGCCGTCCACGGCGTGGCGCTCGTCGGGGGCACGGCGTTCTCGTGCCGGGGACTCTTCTGGGTGCTGCGGATCGTGTCGGCGGTGGGGCTGAGCAGGGAGTGCAGGCACAAGCTGGAGCGGCTCATGGGGCTGATGCTGGACCAGGCCACGCTCGACGACCTCCTCGTCTCCGGCG